CCCCGGGCCGCCGCAGAGCGCGCGCACTTAACCGCTTGCGCCACCGGGCCAGCCCCTATATGAAGACATTTAATGACCAAAAAAGAAAAGCTTAATAAAAGTTTTTTACACATATGCAGTTTATTTCATCATGTAAAGAAAAAAAAGACTGAAAAGGAAACCAACAAACGTTCTAAGCTGCTCCCATAAATCATATACCCTAGACTTCAAATACAGCTGCTAATTATTTGCTACTAATTAGAAAAAATGTACAAAATAAAGCTAAAGACTCACTTCTGGCTCTCCTATAAATATTTTCATAACTAAAAACTCCAAGAAATTTTTACCTTTCTATAAAAGGGTTCTATGTCCAATTTTCAATCTCAGATTAGTAACAATCTGATTTCTTAAAATCATCAATTTAGATTGCTTTACACAAAGGCCATCTCAAAGAAGTTATGTTCAGCTCAGTAATCCTGAAGTGTAGACACCTAATACACAGCGCAAGAAGTTTTGGTGCATTTTAGTGAACTGCACCAACAGAAACGCCTCATGCGCACACGAGCTTATTTTATTCACATCTTTCCATTAACTCTTAAGAGCCTAACATCTAATGAAGCTTTTTGCAAAAGGTACTTTGCTTAGTCTGGACATGGATTTATTTGAATATCCGGGAAGCTGTCAAAATCGATCTCAAAGTGCATTATATTCAAGGCACAGAACGTCAACTCCTTCCTGGGCTCCTCTCTTTTCTTTCACAAGAGCGCCTTTAACATCCCCTAGCTTACATTTCCGGACTCATGAGTCACTCAGAAACGAGCTCTAAGTTTCCCTTAGAATGGCACTCAAACAGCTCCTCTACAGCATTCAAGGATCTGGCCCCCAAATACCTCTTTAGCCCATCCCCACTCCCCCACCACGGCCCTAGGCAACAAACTGAATTATTCACTATTGCTAGACTACGTCTTTTTACCTTTGTCCTCTAGCTTTGCTGCCCCTCCACACATCGTCTCTTCTGCAACCCTCCTCTCCCAAATCCCATGGGGCCTTCAAGACCCTGCTTGGCACCGCCTCGCCCAGGAAGCCTTCCAGATTTCTGCTGGGCGGAAGTGATCGATGGGTCGTGTCTTCCCTGGGTGCCTTCCTAGCACCTTGCAGTTCTTTCACGGGACTTATCACCTCCTTCCTGGTATCGTATTATTTGTGTACTACTCCTCTTATCTCCCACACCAGAGCGGTAGCTCCTCGGGGGAGGGGACCGCGGGCCCCGCTTCACCTTTGAATCCCTCGGGCGCGGACCGACCGCGGCGCCAGCACGCAGTCGGCGCTCGGGGTGGCTCAACCGAACTCGGGGACGCTCCGGCCGCGCCGTTCCCGACCGGAAATCGGTTAGGCATTTTCCCGAAACGAGGATCACAGAGCTGCGATCTGCCTCCCGGGAACAGGAAGTTGCCCCGGGGCCGGGAGCGGGGCGGCCGGGCCTGGGTGCGGTAGGAGTGACAGCTGGCCCGGCCCGCACGTCCCTGCCCTCCCGACGCCGGCCGGGGACGCCCCCG